TTATTTAATTTGCTGACAATATACTTAATCTGATTAATTTATTTATATTTTGATCCTTATAATCAAAACTCTGGAACACTTTAGTTTTGTTCAACATGCAAACCAACTTATCATGAAAAGGTCCTTTCAATTATGTTTATTCTTTAAAATACTCCAGTCTATGAACTCTGATTGGGGCAGACAACTTATTCCAAACAACTTATTGACTGCAGGAGGAACATTTGCATTGTATTCATTGCTTTGTAAGCATATGAATATTGGAATCCTTTCTTCTAACTGTGCTAATTCAAACTCAATCTTGCCTGAAAACACTGAAAGGAAAAGTAGGCTTGTCAAATTTTTTGAGAAAAGTATAGTTGCCAGGAGAGTGTTGCTTTTTGTTTCTATTTTAGGAATGTGCATGCTAATTGGCGATGGCATCCTTACTCCTGCAATCTCAGGTTTGTATCCAAGTTTCTTTTATTTTATTTGGCATGCTGTTTAATTGTTATCATCATCATCATCATCATCATTATTATTATTATTATTAACATTATGTATCTGACTTCAAAGAAATTTTTTTGCAGTTTTGTCAGCAATGGATGGAGTAAAAGCGCGCTTTGATTCTGTCAGTAAATGTATGTCTGTAAAATGATTCTTGAATATGAGTTAGGAAGTTTAGCAGATTTGCCTGGTGAAAGTAGTCTCTGTCCACTAATCTAAATTCAAATAATATAATTTTTTTTTTTCACCGAGTCCTTAGGTAACATCCCTTTCAAACAAATTCTGTTATAAAAGAAATATCTTATCCTGGTATTATCGTACACATCGGTTGCATTTGAAAATCAACTGGCAAACAGGCCCGTAGCTTTCCTTGAATCAATAAACATAATGGAAAGTTGAATAGTATTACTTTTTGAGGCAGCTTCAGTTCAAAATTTAATATATATAATGCTTAGTGAATAAAAAGTTAAAAACTTCATTCAAGCCAATCTCATTGCAAGTTAAGGTTTTAGTCATTTTCTATGTGGAAATAACATTTGTAGGCTGTGTTTGTTTACAGAATTTGATAGCGAGAGAATATTTTGTGTTTCATTCCAGAATATGAATGATGCTAATAATTAAATGAACCAAAGGCCAGGTTCTGAAGACAGAAAGAAATTGACAAATTTTGTCATTAACAAAGGGAGAATTTATCACTTTAATAAGTTTGTGATATTTAACTTAAATATCACAAACTTATTAAAGTGCTAAATAGTAAGACCAATTAATGCAACACAAAGTGGTTTAATAATGCACGTTATGAACTTAAGGGACATTAAATCATTTTTTGGTGCTTAAGTTAACTGGTTTTATAATTTTAGTAATGTGATAGTATTCAATATCATTAATGCTTCATTGGTTTGTTAACACCACAGCTCTGGTGGAAGCCCTTTCTGCAGTAGTTCTTGTTATTCTCTTCCTGCTACAGAAATATGGCACTTCTCGAGTGAGCTTTATGTTTTCTCCCATCATGGCTGCATGGACTTTGAGCACTCCAATTGTTGGAATTTATAGCATTGTATGTCATTAGCCCAGTTTATTCAAGGCACTATCACCTCATTACATATTTCTTTTCTTTTCAAGAAATGGAAAAGAAGGGTGGCTGCTGCTTGGTGGTACCATCCTCAGCATCACTGGTAAGCCTTGATTTTAAAGTACTGAGTTATAATTATTATGAATCAGTTTATTATCTTTTGTGTTGTCTATTTCCAATGATCACCGGCCCTTAGGCATTATCAACACAAACAATTTGATGCACAATTTAAATTGTTGTCATACCATTTACATTATAATGAGACTCAAATTTATGATTTAAAATTTAATCCTTGTTTGACAAAGTTAGAATGCATTTTTCAGTTGATTTTGATGGGAAATTACCTTGTTTATTTATTTTTATCAGGAAAGAAGTTAAATGTAAACTATTATAGATGTTTGAATTGTTGACTTAACCCCCTAAAAAAATAAGGTTTTGAAATTAGTGAGTATTATTGACTCAGCTAAGCTCTTGCTAGAAATACTCATCTTTCATGTTTTATGGTCTATACTTGCTTGTATCTTTGAATTGTCCCAAGTTTGATGGATTAAGCATAGAGAGCAATTTTGCATCCTTTTAGATTATTTCACCTTTTTTTTAAATGTAGAACTCTTTTCCATACCCTTTGATGTTGCTATCATGTTATACTCGTAGGTTCTGAAGCAATGTTTGCAGATCTAGGTCATTTTAACAAGAGTTCCATTCAGGTAAGCCATAATTTCTACACTGAGACTTCATTCTTTTTGTAAATAATGGATTCCTCATACTATCTTTGTCAACAGATGGCTTTCTTCTTTACAATATATCCATCTCTGGTTTTTACATATGCTGGGCAAACAGCATATTTGATTAAGAACCCTAATGATTTCAAGGATGGATTTTACAAATTTATACCAAACACCGTTTACTGGCCAATCTTCATCATAGCCACACTGGCTGCAATTGTTGCCAGCCAATCTCTGATATCTGCAACCTTTTCTGTAATCAAGCAATCTGTTGTGCTGGATTATTTTCCTCGAGTGAAGGTGGTGCACACGTCTCCCAACAACGAAGGAGAAGTTTACTCTCCAGAAGTGAATTACATCCTTATGATTCTTTGTGTTGCAGTGATACTCATATTTGGGGATGGAAATATTGCGAATGCTTTTGGTATGGTAAACTAATACTGCTAAGATGTTTATCTATTTTTGCATGCAACGGCCATTATTAATTGCTTGCTTGTTTTCTAGATCTATTGATGCTTCTCTGGTCACTTAGTTAATTATTCATGGCCTTGTAATACTCCATCTTTTGGTATTGCCTATAGATTGTAGAAGATTGTGGGTAATTAGAGGAAGGGTAACTTACATTTTTTCTGTTGTTAGCCTTTTCCTGATAAATTGGTATATAATTCTCAACCTTGATCATGTTCCAGTTGAATTCCCAACCTAATTATATGATTGTAACCTAGCTTCCATTAACACCTCAGTACAATGTCCCTGTTGCACCCTACTTAGCAGGAAGGTCAATAACGAATTGTACCTTTACTGATAATGGAGCCTTTATTGTGAAAATATTATTTTTTCTGGTTAAATATTTAACTTTTTCTGCGTATTATAAATTTATGTAATAAAGCAGCAAAACTAAATGTTTCTTTTTTCTTTGGTAATTATCATACTGTATGCTGCTTCTAATTAAAACCAAAACTACTAAGCAGCAGGTCAACATTCTTCATGTGGCTGATACAATAGTCTAACTGTACCTTGTTGCAGGTGTTGTTGTTAGCCTAGTCATGCTCATTACAACTATATTACTGACATTAGTCATGATCATTATCTGGAGAACATCACCGTTGCTGGTTGCACTTTACTTCTCCGTATTTTTCACAATGGAGGGTGTTTATGTGAGTGCAGTCTGCACCAAAATTCCTGAGGGTGGATGGATACCTTTTGCCATATCTTTAATCCTTGCCTTCATTATGTTTGGCTGGTACTATGGGAGACAGAGAAAGATGGAGTATGAACTAACGCACAGGATTGACTTGGCAACACTCGGAATGCTATTGTCTGAGCCCGGTGTCCAAAGGGTTCCTGGATTGTGCTTCTTCTACACCAACATTCAAGATGGTTTGACTCCTGTCCTGAGACATTATGTCAAAAACATGAGATCTCTTCACAAGGTCACTATTTTTACAACACTTAGGTATTTACTGGTTCCAAGGGTTAATCCACAAGAAAGAATTATTGTCAGAAAATTAGCATTGGAAGGCGTTTATCGGTGTCTGATCCAGTATGGCTATGCTGATTCCCTGAACCTGGGAGGAGATGATTTTGTGAGTCAAGTCACTCAGAGCTTACAGGCACATGTAGAAAACGGCTTGGGTTGTTTACCGTCTGAACCTTTGCAGGCTCTGCCTGAGATTTCTGAACTGGAAGAGGCCAAAATGGCTAGTGTGGTTCACATTCGGGGCAAGACAAGGTTTTACATTAGTAAGAAATGTAGCAGGTTTGACAGATTCATGCTTGTCTTTTATGAAGTTCTTCATGGTAATTCCAGATCAGCCTTACCTACTCTAGGGGTGCCGCCACCACTGTGTATTGAGGTTGGGATGCTTTATGAGGCTTAAAGAGATACTTGTATCAATGGCTCAATCAAATTCAGCTAGATGCAATACGTAGGTAAGTAGTAGGAAAGTATATTGCAAGGTTCATATTTCTTGAACCAGTCTAAGTCCTGACTTCCTATAATATTATTTTTTTTTGTGAGAACTTTAACTGTTTACTGTACTTTTCTCTAGGCAAAAGGAGAACAAGAACTCCCTATGGGAGTGTGTAGCACTCTTGTATGGTTAAATTTGTTGGGATCAAATTGTGGTTAGTTTTAGTTGTTTACTGGAGCCTATGCTTGCTAGCTAGGATGTCTTATAAGATAGGAGTATCATTTTATGTTAACAGAGATTAGTTGTTCTTTATAAATAAGAGCATTGAGCTAAATTGAAAAATTTAGGGGTTTTATTTGTTAAAATCAATTTGAGGGCTTCATTGATTGATCAAACATAAAAGTTAAAGTTGTAAAATAAGTGGTCACTGAGTTGGAAGAAAATAACTATATAAAAGAAGATAAAATAAGACTATAAAGAGAGAATATGAAAGTATGCTTTTTATTTTTTAATTTCCTTTAACTTTTCAATTTCAAATTTTCAGTTCAAGTTTCATATAATGCAAACTTATATATAGATTAAGAGATAATGATTATTATATAAATTTAAAGCATAAACTTGATTAGATTCATAAATAGAATTTAATTAGAACATTAAATCTTTTATCAATTTCATGAATGTAATTATATAAAGAAGATAAAGTAAGACTATAAAAAGCAAATTGATGAAAAGTATGCTTTCTATTTTTCATTTCTTTTCAGTCTACAATTTCAAAATTTAAATTTAAATTCAATATAATGCCAACTTATATATAGGTTAAGAGACAAGGATTATTAAATTTAATAGATAAACTTGACTAGATTTATAAATAGAACTTAATTAAAACATTAAATCTTTATTGGTTTTGGTTTTGGTTAAACCCTCAAATTAATTCTTCAACTATTGTATAAACCTTCCATTTAATTCCAAAGTTAAAAAACCTTCAATTTGATTCCAAAGTTAAAAAAATCTCTGATTTAGCTTTTATTATTTACTAATTTTGCCTTAAATTGATCATTTCGTGTAAAAATAAATAACGTGTCTCATTATTAATATGACATGTGACCGTTAAGCAATAGTTTTATGTTGTTAAGTAATGGGCTCAACAATAGTTTTTTAACGGAATGATCAATTTGAAACTAAATTGATAAAAAATAAGAATTAAATTAAGGTTTTTTTTTAATTCAAAAATTAAATCGAAGATTTGTATTATAATTGAGTGATAAAATTGAGAGTTTAACCTTTTATAAATACAATGGTTGATGAATTTGGTTGTACCATGAATGTAGTTTAATGAAACATTATAGGAAATTGAATGAAAATGAAAAACCTGAAATGATAGATAAAATATATAAGATGAAATATTCATTCATTATATAATTTATACTAGAACTGCTAAAATTAAAGCTTTTTTCTAAATTTAATTTCGTTGTTAAAGAAAAAAAAAGGGAAAGCGAATTAAAAGAAAAAAAAGTCAAACCTAAAGTTAATTTATTTTATTTTTCCTACCTAAATTAGTGCCGGTGTACTAGACTAATGGTACGGACAAACAAAAATACTTATAAAACGCGTGACATGTGAAGACAAAAAGTCAGTAGTTTAAAGATGGCATGGGCGATGACGTAGACACCCATGTGAAGATGGTGGGTTCAATGGAGATCTAACCCACGACGCCAAAATGCTGCGCCCCTCGGGCCTAGCCATGACCGAGAGTTGCATTGGCCATCACAATGAAGTTCGCACCAGCCATGTTGGTGGTGGTGGTGTGGTGGAGGGCTTCGCCAGACAATCAACCAGAACTTAATTCGTGTACACTACATTGTTGAGTGAGAAGTATACACAAAGTGTTTGT